ATTACTTTGTTGAACTATGGAACACCCAGCAAACGGATCTCCAGTATATCCAGTTTCACAAGTACACTGTGGTCTATGATTACGAGTTACACAAGTTGCGTGCACTCCACATGAACCAGGACAAGGATCTTTGCAACGTTCGTTTAAGCAAGCAAGATTTCCAGGACATTCTGCATTTATTGAACATTCTGGGCGACAGTTAGGTGGTCTTCCTATATAGTTTGGTAGACAAGAGCATGCTGGTGTTGAGCCAACTTCACGGCATATTGAATTCAGACCACATGGGGACGGAACACAAGGATTTCCACTAGGTGGTGGCTGAGTTGGTCGTGCTATAATAAAAAAAAAAAATAATAATTACATATCAAACTAACTAATTTCATAGTTAATTGATAAATCATTTTTGTTTTAAATACTAAAGTAATTTTTTATTATGTAAAGGAAATTATGAAAATAATTGTTTTTAAATCAGATTTAGGTGATTATTTTGAAATTATTTACTAAAATTGTTTTTATTTGTTTAGTCTTAAAGATATATAAACTTACGTTCTGATTTGCATTGTACAAATGGATCGCCAATTAAACCACTTGGACAACTGCAAATTGGATTGTGATTTATGACTTGACATCTTGCTCCAATACCACATATTCCAATACAAGGGTCTGAACATTTTTGATTAATACAAGCTCTGTTTTGTGGGCATTCTGAACTAACTACACATTCTGGACGACAACCCGGAGGTGTACCAATATAGTTAGTTTGGCAAGAACACACTGCATGCCCATTTACAGTTCTACATACGCTATAAGGCCCACATGGTGATGGTTCACATGGGTTTTTAGGTATTTCATCCACTATAAATAAATAATAAAAATGATTATTGCTTATGTTAAATATTGTAGACAAATAATATAAATCATACTTGGTGGTGGCATATGACATGCGGTAATAGGATTGCCAGTATAACCTGGGAAACATGTACACGATGGTGTGTGATTGATGACACTGCATTCTGCATTAAGACCACAAGTACCAGGACAAGGATCACGGCATTTATTATTGACGCATGCTTTACTCCTGTCACATTCTGAATTGGTCACACATTCTGGTCTACATCCCGTGTAAGGATCACCAAAATATTCTGGTAAACATATACAAGATCCTGCTCCATTACGTTCTTTGCATATAGCGTTTGCTCCACATGGCGATGGGTTACATGGCATTTTAGGGCCTTCAGTTGGAACGACTAAAGTTTTAAACATCATTAAATAAAATATCAAATTAAGATGTTTAAGTATAAAATAAATGTTTATTACATACCTTGTTGTACTAAAGAACATCCAGCAAATGGATCTCCCGTATAGCCTGGTTCACAGTTGCATTGTGGACTATGATTTATAGTTACACACGTGGCATATATTCCACATGAACCAGGACATGGGTCTTTACATCTTTCTTTTGAACATGCTAAATTTCCTGGACATTCAGCATTGATAGTACATTCTGGTCGACAATTAGGTGGTCGTCCAATGTAACTGTCCAAACATGAACATGCTGGGGTGTTACCAATTTCACGACATACTGAATTTGGACCACATGGGGATGGTACGCATGGATTGGTTGGTATATCAGCTGGTGGAGGTTCTATGTATAACATACATATTTAGATTAATATTGTTTTCAAAAATATTTATTGTAAAATTTGTATTGATTAAAAAATACGTACGTTCTTTAAAGCATCGTATAAATGGATCACCGTTATAACCAGGTGGACAACTGCAAATTGGACTATGATTGACTACTTGACATCTTCCATTTGATCCACATGTACCAGGGCATGGGTCTATACATTTTTTTCGAACACATGCTTTATCCTGTGGACATTCAGAGCTCACCATACACTCTGGTCGACATGATGGTGGCGTTCCAATGTAATCTGTTTGGCACGAACAAACAGCATGATTATTCACAGGTCTGCATTGACTGTACGGACCACATGGTGATGGGATACATGGATTTGTAGGTGGTTCTGGATCAACTAAAAATAAAAATTTAATATTATTTTTGAATAAAGTATGAATAATAAAATGTATCCATAAATGAATGAAAAATACAACTTTATAATATTATACATACGTAATGGTTGAATGTAGCATGATAAAGTTGGATCTCCAGTATAACCCACTGGGCAGTAGCAAGACGGCGAGTGGTTTATAACTCTGCATTCTGCATTCAAACCACAGACTCCTGGACATGGATCGCGACATTTATTGTTCATACAAGATTTACTACGATCACAATCAGAATTGGTCACACATTCTGGCCTACATCCAGTATATGGATCTCCAAAATATTCTGGTAAGCACGAACAAGAGCCAGCACCATTTCGTTCCTTACATACTGCATTTGCTCCACATGGCGATGGGTTGCATGGCATCTTTGGCCCTTCAGTTGGAACTAAAAAACGTTTAAATATAAATACATAATTATATATATTTTAAAAGTTTATATAGATATTGATACCATCAAAGAAATATCTTACTTTGTTGTATGAGTGAACATCCACTAAATGGATCTCCAGTGTATCCATTTTGGCAAACACACTGAGGTACATGTTTGACTGTATTACATGTTGCGTATATTCCACATGAGCCAGGACATGGATCTCGACATTTTTCATTGACACAAGCGAGATTTCCAGGGCATTCGGCATTGATTGTACATTCTGGGCGGCAATTTGGTGGCCGACCAATATAATTAGACAAACACGAACATGCGGGAGTTCCACCGTGATCGCGGCATAAAGAATTAGGTCCACATGGAGATGGAAAGCACGGATTAGTCGGAATTGATGGTTCATCATATGTTGGTTCTAACAAATAATATGATAATTATTTGTTATTAAGTTATTTTTCTATATATTCTTTTATATCAATACGAACTTTCTTGTAAACACCGGACAAATGGATCACCGGTAAATCCAGCAGAACAGCTACATATTGGATTGTGGTTGACAACTTGGCACCGAGCATTAAGACCACAGGTTCCGGGACATGGGTCTACGCATTTTTGATTGACACAAGCCTTATCTTGAGCACATTCAGAACTAACCATACATTCTGGGTGACAAGCTGGGGGTGTACCGATATAATTTGTTTGGCATGAACAAACTGCATGGTCATTTACTGTCCTGCATTGACTGTACGGGCCACAAGGTGAAGGTATGCAAGGGTTTTTAGGTGGTAGATCTGGGCCTAAAAGTGGGCATAGCACAAAGAAAAACATGCAACGTACAATAGAGACAGATAAGAATGAAGACACGGTTTAAAATACCAATACATGCAAAGTAAAAATAAGCTTATAAGTAGATAGTAAGGGAAGAAATCTTACTGGCAACTGGAAGAAGTTGACAAGCAGACAATGGATTGCCAGTATATCCTGGAAGACAAGCACATGAAGGAGAATGGTTGATAACTCTGCATTCAGCATATAAACCACACATTCCTGGACATGGGTCTCGACACTTATTGTTTATGCAAGCCCTGTCTCTAGGACATTCACTATTTAGCACACATTCTGGTCTACATCCTGTATAAGGATCTCCCGTATATTCAGGAATACATGCACAAGATCCAGCATTATTTCTTTCTTTGCAAATAGCGTTTGCCCCACACGGTGATGGGTTACACGGATCACTTGGCACATCCGCTGGTGGTGGTACTAAAATGGGAAAATTTGAGTTGCAATTTGCGTGTATGATGTATTTGTCATTTATTCGTTTAATCAACGATACCTCAGGTAACTTAATATCTTAATAAATACTCTAACCAGTTGTATAATAATAGTTTAATAATAATCCTTACGTGAAATTGGCGTTGGTCGGCAGGCTATAAATGGATCACCGGTATACCCGTCATTGCATTTACATACAGGATTGTGGGAAATCACTTTACAAAAGGCATTGATACCACAAGAACCGGGACATGGGTCTATACACCTTTCATTAACACAAGCCAAATTGCCAAAGCATTCGGCATTTATTGTGCATTCTGGTCTACAGCAAGGAGGTCGACCAATATAGTTTGGTAAACAAGAACAGGTAGGAGTATAATCTTTGGGATGACATATAGAATTTGGACCACACGGTGATGGAACACAAGGGTTCTGTGGAAGTCTATCCTGTTCTGGCGGCAAAGGCTCTAAACATTCCCCATGCATCAAATCAATAATATGCTATATATAAAGCAACTAAAAGCATAACTACGGCATTCTTACTTTCAATAATAGCGCAACGAACAAATGGATCACCGTAATAACCTGAATAGCAACTACATATCGGACTATGATTCACTACTCGACATTGCGCGTTGTAACCACATGTGCCTGGACATGGGTCTGAACATATTTGGTTTACACATGATTTATCTTGTGGACAATCTGAACTAGTTATGCACTCTGGATGACAATTTGGAGGACTTCCAAAGTAACCAGCTAAACAAGAGCATACTGCGTGGCCATTTACAGTTCGACACTGACTGTATTGCCCACAAGGCGATTTCATGCAAGGGTTTTTCGTAATAATCAAATCAACTTCACATGCTATGTAATAAAATAAGTATAAGAAGAGAATCTAAAGAAAAGCAATAGCAATATATACAACTCTTACTTGGATCAAACTCAATTTTATGACATGATAATAAAGCACTTCCGGTGTACCCTTGCAGACAATAGCAAGTAGGAGCATGGTTGCTGACCTTACATTCAGCATATAAACCACAAGCACCAATGCAAGGATCTATACATTTGTAATTGATGCATGCTTTATTCCACGCACAATCGAGATTGTTTACACATTCTGGTCGACATCCAGAGTACGGATCGCCAAAATATTCTGGGATACATGAACAAGAGCCGGCACCATTTGATTCTTTACATACAGCGTTTGCTCCACACGGTGAAGGGTTGCAAGGAGTTACAGGCGTATAATCGATAGCTAAAAAACGATTATAAATACTCTACAATCTAATGCAGTACAATAAGCAAATACATACATAAAAGCTCTATCCAACAAATAATCTGATCACCGAAGCAAACAATACATTAACCACATGCATTAACTTACCTTTATGAAAAGAAGAGTCCAATTAATGTCATATTAGACATTAATTAGGGAGAATTAATTATACTCTATTAAATGTATACTAACTTAATAAACTAAAAAAATCTAACATTATTAAATTGCGGATTTGAGTCTTACATGGTAATGAACATATTTTAAAAGGATCTCCAGTAAATCCTTCCGGGCACATGCACAAAGGTTTGTGATTGATCACACTGCATAATGCTTGAGGCGCACAGCTACCAGGGCATGGGTTAGTACAGCGGTTATTAACACACACATTTGTGAGATTACAATCGGCATTTAAAGTACATTCCGGTCGACAATTTGGCGGTAAACCGATGTACCCAGCTTGACAAGAACACACGGGTTGTTTGTCATAAGAAAGGCAGACCGAATAAGGTCCACACGGGTTCTTATCACATGGATTATTGTTATTGTCCGTGCATTCTAGATGATACATGCATTTTTTGGTGTTAATAGCAAATATAAATTATTATGAATATCCTAGAATTTGGGGGCTTACTTTCTGTTTTAAGACACCGTTTCATAGGATTGCCACTAAAACCCGGTTTACAGACACATATAGCTTTATGATTAATTACCCGGCAATGGGAATTGGGTGCACATAAACCTGAACAAGGGTCTGTGCACCGTTGATTAACACAAGCTTTATTTGGTGCACATTCTGAGCTAATCACGCAGTCTGGCTTGCAGTTGGGTGGCGTCCCAGTATAACCATACTGGCATAAACACACGACGCGATTTTTGATTATTGAGCAATTACTGAATGGACCACAGAGATTTGGCATGCAAAGCAAATTTGGCTTATTTGGAATATTAGGAGCTATAATTATATTATTAGTATATTATTAGTAGAAATAGTAGAATGTTCACATAAATGTTTTCTAATGAAAAGTACCTCATGAAGTGACAAAGTATTTCTAGTTTGATATAAAAAGTATATACGAGGATATAACATATAACATATATTTATTGCACATAACTTTTTATGCATTATGTATAGATTATATACTGTACTAATAAACAAATTATCCAGAACTTTTTTTAAAATATGACGTATTTTAATATTATTGTTTAGATATAATTTTTAGAAAACATTTATGAATATAAAATTATCATTAATGACAGAGTGTTAGAAGAAGGCATGCTTACAATTTGATATTTTGTTGCATATTGTTAGTGGATTGCCAGTCATGCTATTCGGACAAAAGCAAATCGGGCTATGGTTGACTACTCGACAACGAGCGCGCAGGCCACATGCGTTTTTGCATGGATCGATGCATTCAGAATTAACACAAGCTAATGATCTAGGACATTCTGCGCTGAGTGTACAACGAGGACGGCATCCAATGTATGGGTCCCCAAGATAATTATGCTTACAAACGCAAGTTATATTGTTAATATTGCTCTTACATATTGCATTATGGCCGCAAGTAGAACCATCACAAGACACGCGTGGTTTTCCTTTTGGTTTTGCTATTAATAATAATAATAACAATAACAACCTTAATTGTATAGTAGTCCAACTGTTGCAGTTCGTTTGTTAAGTAATTTTAATAACATATTAATTAATGTTTTAACTCTTAAATAACTATTAGCCATTAATGGTATACCAAGTTAATAAAATAATAATAGTAACTTATAACAAATGTTATTTGATTTATAAATAAATCTTTATTGCGACAATTTAGTTTGAATAAAAATATTGAAATATTAGATTGTTTTATAAAATCAAACATACCTGCGACAGCATTACATCCATTAAACGGATCACCTTGGTAGCCCGGCTCACACGAACACACTGGTTGATGGTTGATTACAGTACATCTCGAATTGAACCCACAAGATCCTGTACACGGATCTCGACATTTACTCTGTAGACAAGCTAATCTAGTTGGACAATCAGCATGAATTAAGCATTCTGGTCGACAGTTTGGTGGAGCTCCAAGCATGCCCGGTAAACATGAACAAACAGGTCTACTATCATGTTCTCTACATTCAGAATTAGCACCGCACGGTAATGGGAAACAAGGATCTTGGTAAATGACCGGAGGAGTTTTAGGTTCTGTAGAATTGTAAATGATTAATAAAATGTATTAATAATATTTAATTATTTTAGAGAGATTTACCTTCTTGAATACACCTCACGAATGGATCGCCCACGAATTTCGGTGGACAAGTACAAATAGGATTGTGATTAATTACATTGCACCGAGCATGTAATCCACATGTTCCAGGACAAGGATCTGAACACTTTTGTGCTATACATGCCTTATCTACTGGACATTCGGCACTTACAACGCATTCTGGTCGACAAGAAGGAGGGGTTCCTATAAAACCTTGTATACATGAGCAAACTGCATTATAACCTTGAGTACGACATTGACTATTAGGACCGCAAGGTGAAGGTTCACAAGGATTTTGGGGAGTTGGTGCTACAAAAAAACATTAAATGACATTTTATTAAAATTAATTCAAACATCTTATGTTAAAATATATCTAGCTCACCATTAATTGGTTCTATTCTACAAGATTGGAATGGATCTCCCACATATCCTGGGAAGCAAGTACAAACTGGTATATGACTAACAACATTACATTGAGCATTGAGACCACATACACCTGGGCATGGATCTCGACAATGGCTAGCCAAACATGCCAAGTTTGACATACAATCACTATTCATCAAACATTCTGGCCTACATCCACCAGAGTAAGGGTTACCTATATAAGGTGGTATGCAAACACATTTTGAGACTCCATTGCTTTCACTAAAACATTGAGTATTGTCACCACACGGTGAAGGATTACATGGGTCTCTTGGAATTTCAGGTAATGCAGCTAAAATATTATTAAATAACATCATTAGTTTATAGTTAATAAGTATATATTTATATAATTATATGGTATTCTAACTTAAAAATAATAAAAAATAAATAAATAGAAAAATAATATATAAGTAAGCTTTTAAACACTAAAAATTATATTTCATGAATTTGCCATCCATGCAAAAAGGTAAAAAATCTGATACAAATAAGCTAAATTTATTTATTTTTATTTTGTTTTAACCATTTACACATTTATTTAGGTGCTTATAACATAAATATCTCATCTCTGAGTTTTGAACAAATTTAATAAAATTAAATCATAAGTATAATAATACAATTTACACTTACTTGGTGGAATTCTGGTACAGCTTATAAATGCATCTCCTTCATAACCTGATATACAGGTACAGAATGGTGTATGATTAACAACATCACATTTAGCATTCAAGCCGCATGATTTTGTGCACGGGTTTTGACATTTTTCTTGAATACATGCTTTGTTATGTGGGCATTCGTGATTCATTATACATTCTGGCCTACAATATGGTGGACTTCCAATATAATTCGGTGAACATGAACAAACTGGATGACCTTTTTTGATTTCACAAATCGAATTTGGACCACATGGCGTAGGTTCGCAAGGATTTCCAGGTACTTTAGGAGTTTCCTCACCTATGGGTAATATTATTAATAATATAAATAGAACTGTAATAATAATAAAATAGCAATGCATTAAAATTTAATACAAACCTAGTGGCAAATGACAGCTAACGAAAGGATCACCGACGTGTCCTGGTGGGCAACTACAGATCGGATTATGGCAAATAGAATAACAATTAGCTCCAACTCCACATGTACCGGGACATGGGTCAACACATTTTTGATTTAAGCAAGCTTGAGTTTGAGGACATTCCGCGCTTACTACACACTCCGGCTTACAAACTGGCGGAGAGCCACGATATCCTGGTAAGCACGAACATGTTGCAAATCCTTGTTCCGAAATATGACATCGACTATTAGAACCGCATGGAGAGGGGTCACAAGCATTATCTGCTGGGCCCATTATTGGCGGATAATCTAAAAAAGATATTACGTATATATTATAATATATTCAACATATAAACTAAAATATATTAAGTTTTTACTCGTTAAACGGTAAATTATCAACTATTATTTACTTGGTCTAGCAGCTTGATAACAGCTGACGAAAGGATCTCCTGAATAATCTTGTTGGCAGAAACATACAGGGAAATGGTTAACTACTTGGCATTGAGCGTTAACGCCACATACACCCAAACAAGGATTAACACATTTGTTATTAATACAAGATAATGTTTGACCACAATCTGTATTTATAACACATTCGGGCCTGCACGATAAGTATGGGTTTCCATAGTACTGTTGACGACAAACACAAATAGTCATTCCATTTGATTTTTTGCACACAGCATTTGCCCCACATTGCACTTGATCGCAAGAAAGAGGCTTAGCTACATCATCTATAAAAATAAATCAATACATTATAGCTTACAGATATTCTAGATTTTAAGCTTATCACTGATTGGTCATACTTTGTTTTGGAGTAGTACAATGTTCGTATGGATTTCCAATTAGACCCGATTGGCATGAACAAATTGGATTATGATACACAACAGTACATTCAGCTTGAATACCACATGAACCTGGACAAGGATCAATACATTTTTGTCCCACACAAGCTAAATTGAATGGGCAATCGGAATTGTATAAACATTGAGGATGACATTGTGGATTCCATTGTTGTTCAGTCGAAGAGCAAGGATCACACATTGCTATTTGACCACCATACACATTACATGAAGCATATGGATCACATGGTGAAGGTGCACAAGGTAGAGTCATATTTTTAAATGGCTCGTCATCAGCTACAAATCCCAAACAATTGTAAATTTTGGAAAATTTGAAAAATACATTGGTTATTTACATTATTTAACATATAAAAAATGTTAAATGTATTTAATTTATTAAATTCTTACGTTTTGGTAAACATTGCAGGAATGGATCTCCAACAAAACCTTCTCTACACGAACATAGCGGTGTATGATCTTTACATTGGCATACGGCTCCAAGACCACAGATGTTTCCAAATGCACATGGATCTCGACATCGGTAATCAATACAAGCTTGATGATTCTTACAATCAGTATTTAAAACACACTCTGGCTGACATCCAGTCTTAGGGTCTCCAACAAAATTTGTTAGGCATGTACATACGGGTTTACGATTTTGAATTTTACATTCTGTATTAATTCCACATGGGTTGGGCAAACATGGATTTCCTATTGGAGCTGGATCTGAACCTTAAATTAATAAGTAAACAAACATAATTTATTATTTAATTACTAAACTATACTTTTTTTTATATAAAATAGTTTTAATAACTTACTTATTTGATAACAGCGGAAGAATGGATTTCCAGTGAGTCCACGATTACATGTGCATACAGGGCGATGTTTTTCAACTTTGCATGAAGCTCCTACTCCACACGCTCCTGGGCACGGATTATTACATTTATAACCTAAGCACGATTTATCCCAAGGGCAATCATCATTAGTTGTACATTCCGGGCCTCTACATCCTGTTAGTGGGTCTCCACCCATACCATCAGGACAGGAACATAGTGGTTTTCCTATTTAATAGTTACAAAGTTTTAACAAATTAATATAAAATCTGTACTGTACATTTAAGAAGATGGGTACAGTACCTTCGGATGAAATTTTGCAGTATGCATATTTTCCACATGGATTTGGTTCACATGGACTTGTTGGAATTAAAGTACAACCATCGTAAGGGTTTCCTGAATAGCCATTTTTACAATAACACTGTTCATTGCTTCCAGTTACATAACAATCTGCATTTGCACCACAAGGTCCCGGTTGACATAAAGTTTTCAGTGATTCTAAAAAAAATTTTATAAAGAATTCCAAATTTAATATTTGATGAGAATATATTTAGTGGTACTTTAATACTTACCACCACAAAACTTATATGGATTTCCAATTAATGGTTCGGGGCAGAAACATGACGGTTGTCTGTTTGGATCACATACTGCGCTTTGTCCACATGGATTTGGTTCACATGGATTCTTTTTCTCTACGCAACCACGTATTGTGTTTGGACTCTCGATGTA